TAATTTTAAAATTTTTTACTTAAATCTTTATAATATAGATTAATACTTACTTTAAAAAAAAAATAACATGTATAAATTACTGTACTTTTCAATTATTTTACATTTATTATTTTTATATTTTGCTAATGATATATTTGTTTTTCAAAAGAAAATGAAAAAAAAAAAGGGAAACAAAACAGAACAGAGACGTTTCCACTTTCCAGTTGTTTATCTTGTATTATTTTTGAAACTGTTTATCTTGTATTGTTAATCGTATTAAGGGGGAGAAGTCGTCAAGATTAACCGATTCATCCTCCTCAGCTTCGTCATAATTCTCTTCTTTCTCTGATAATCAACTACTTTCGCGATTCATCTGCAGCAATCGGCATCCAATTTTGTCCGCTGGAAATCCACGCAAATTTCAGTTAACTGCGATCAATTCCGCGGTAAGAGTCTCGCCGGCATGTACTCAACTCAAATCATGCAATGTTGCGTGCGTTTCTCTCTGATTCCCGAATAGCTAGATCTTCTTCGGAGAAGTAGAACTTATGCTCTTTTCTAATTGCTCACGGAAGATTTATGAGTTTTCCTTTTTCCCTTTCCTTCTGATTTTCTCGAAGGCCAAACAGAGCAATAAAGGTTATTTCTTATAAGTTCGTTTTTTCTATTATATTAGCTTGATTTTAATAAATTGATAATTCAAAATTGGAGATTCAGCTACCTCTCTTGTCTTTTACCAGTTAACTATTAGGTATCAATATTTTCATTCTGTTTGGTTGTGATTAATTTTCTCAGCAACTATCAATGTTTTTCATTCTCAAATTTATTTTTTCTTGTTCATTTTGGTGAATTTTTTTTTCTTTTCTTGTAGAAGATATTTGTTTCGATTGGAGTGAGTTGGAAGGTATTCAGTATTCTAGTGTGAAATGTACTTGGAGAAATGATGGTGGGGACGAAGAAAGTAGGGAAGTATGAGCTCGGACGGACCATTGGGGAAGGAACATTCGCCAAGGTTAAGTATGCGCGGAATATGGAGACTGGAGAGAGTGTGGCCGTGAAAATTTTGGCCAAAAGCACCATTCTTAAGCACAGAATGGTTGATCAGGTAATTAACTTTTAGTATTTGTTATGTTGTGCCCAAAAGGTCTAACCATGTTTTCTATGAATGTGCATACCCTACAGCGTACTCTGATTTATTTAATGGTCCTTGTTGTTAATTGTTACCCTTACATTTTTAACACTTAGTGCTATCAGTACTGCTTTTTTTAAATGAATATGCAACATATCTGGTCCTTTTTGTTAATTTTTGCTAACCATATAACTTGAGGTGATTCATCATGTTAAGTAGCTCCATGGCAAACTTTTGCCTTGGCTTTTGAAATGTTTTTGGAAAAAACATTCCATTAGAGGCTAAAGGGTTTCATTAATACGAGATGTGCTTAAGAAAACAGAATTTAAGTTGTATAATATTGAAATATTCCATCTTGATTCTCTGGGCAATTAGTTGGCTTACTAATTCCTTTCGTTGTTTTACAGATTAAAAGAGAGATATCCATAATGAAAATTGTAAGACATCCTAACATTGTTAGGTTGCATGAGGTATGTATATACTTAAAGAGTTGACCAAGTAGTCTTGACGTCCATATTTATATTGTTTTTCCTCACTCTTTTTGTAAAAATGCAGGTTTTGGCAAGCAGGACGAAGATATATATTATTCTAGAGTTTGTGAGTGGAGGGGAACTCTTTGATAAAATCGTAAGGCATTGACCGTCCTGTACATAGAAATGGGAGAATCTTGTTCTAACAGCTTTCATGCAGAATAATGATGGAAACCATCTTTCATTGGCAAATAATCTTTGGTGTCTCAAAATGATATAAAACTATTGACAACTTAACAATGTAGACTTTCTCTTAATTTTTTTGGATGGGGTAAAATAGTTATCTTTACTACTGAGCTGTCTGTGCAGGTTCACCAACAAAAACTTCCTGAGAATGAATGTAGGGGATACTTTCAACAGCTCATAGATGCTGTTGCTCATTGTCACAGTAAAGGTGTATACCACAGAGATCTGAAGGTGCATTATGATATTCAAAATGAATCATCTTTGATAAACTCTGACTTCACCATGCCATATTTTAATCATGACTAGTTCTTTCTTTTACCTGTTATGGGCAGCCTGAAAATCTTCTTCTTGATTCTTATGGCAATTTGAAGGTTTCTGACTTTGGTCTGAGTGCACTGGCCCGGCAGGTAAGTATCATTGCATTTGAATTCAGTTCACCCTCGCCCAGAAGGGTACCTCTGTTGATTTTTTTTTTTCTTCATTTCTTTTCTTTTCTCTTTTTTCTTTCTTTCTCTCTCTCTTTTTTTTTTTCCCCTTTCTAAAAGCTGAGTGGTTTTAGTCATTACCATTTTGTAATTGTTCATTTGCATCCATGAGCAGGGGGTTGGACTTCTCCAAACCACATGTGGAACCCCAAATTATGTTGCTCCAGAGGTACTCTTGATAAGCAACCTAAAGATAATGCAGTTAGAAATGTATTGCTTTTTATATTGCTGTTGGTAACATGTACTTTGTTCATCTGATTTTGCAATTTGGTCTAATGGGTTTTGCTGTCTATTCTAGAGATTAGTATTTACATTTTGACTACTAGACAATTTCACATATAGCGAAAATTTCTTGTCCGGCTGGACAGTGTTATTATCTTGTACAACTCAAATAGGCCCAAATTCTTTTATTATCTCAATACTGATTTAACACTTCTTGCATGGGTGCTATGCTTCCATGCTATTGTTGCTGCTGCTAATACAGCTTCTGTACAGTGACACATTCACTCTGTCAAACTCTGTCAATCTGTTATCAATTTTGTTAGGTTTTCAGTTAGGTTTTGGCCACTGACTCCAAGAACTTAGTCACAAATTTCTGTTGTCAGTCTGGCATTAATTGCATTGTGAACATACATGTTCTTATTTTCACTGTGTCTGTGCGCAAAATACATCTTCTTGGGGCCCAATAATGACTAGCTTATAGTTTGGTTTTCTGCATTGTATTTGAGTTATGTCACTGAACTATATTGCCTATCAGGTACTTGGAAACCAGGGTTATGATGGTGCAGCTGCTGATGTTTGGTCATGTGGAGTTGTTCTCTTTGTTATAATGGCTGGGTATCTCCCATTTAATGATACTGATCTTCCAACTTTGTACAAAAAGGTTAGCCACCATCAATTAATATTGTTGAAAAATTGATAATTTGTATGAATTCTAGGGTGGCCTTCTTCGTAAATGAACAACTTCTTGCAACAACTGGTCACTTTTATTCTTTTATGCAGTTAAGATAGGCCACTATTTTTCTATTAGTTCCCATCCTCCCTGAAACTCAATATTTGTAACTTCACTTTCATTTCTAAGTTTTGTATCAGATATGCATTAAAAGCTGAACTGAAATCTGTTTTTGGTTCTTGTCATGAAAAGTTATATAAGGTTGCAAACTACAATTTTGGGTTTTTTTTTCCCCCTTCCTGATAATGGGAACCTTCTTAGCTTAACTAAATTTGTTGATTTGTGTAAGCATTTAAAAAATGCAGTGCTCTTTACCTGGAAAGGTCCTCATTGTTCTTCTGGTTGAAGTACAGATAAATGCTGCAGAATATTCTTGTCCCATTTGGTTTTCTCCAGGAGCAAGATCATTGATACAAAAGATCCTCGATCCCAATCCCCAAACAGTGAGTATTTGTTAGCTTATTGTTCTGTTTATGATTGGTGTTACTA